TTTCCAATGTTTCCGGAAACTTTCCGGGCATTTTCATCCCTACATCGCGCTCGGCAAAGTTACACCGTCACCACGGTGCGGAGAAAGGCTGGAGGAAGTTGAGACGAAGTCAACAACGGGAGCAGGCTTCAGCTAGAACTTGGCCGAACGGCGTCGAGGACGTTCATTCTCACGAGTTCCGCACCGTTCATTCGTCTTGATTTCTTCTCAACTTCCGTCTCAGCTCTTCTCCGAAGTTCCCTATTCAACCAACTTCTGCGTTGGTCCGACGATTCACTTTTACTTCTTCGGTCCGTCAGCACGTTCCCAGGACAGCAGCTTGATTGCACACTTTCGTTAGAAATAGGCGGCTCTGCAAAGGCGTCTAGGGAAAAGGCGCGATTTTGATTCGAGTCTTTTCTGAACTTTGGACGCATCACTGCGGCGAAGATTCTCTGCCTCGCCACGCACCACTCTGCGATGGGCTCAAATACGTGCTTCCAGCACTCGGGGGCAGTTTTGTTGCTGAGTTCCCGAGCTTCCGGGGTTGGCAGAACGGGTGAAGTTTCTTCGCGAAGCCTGTGCGCGCCTGGAGTCGTCTCAGACCTCCCGCGTCAAGTAAGGTTACGAAGGTCTTCGCAATTTCCCTCGTTGCATCTCAGGGTTCGTTCCGTGAGCGTTACGGCGTTGGCCCCTCGTTTCGCCACGGAAGCAAAGTTTGATCACAGTGGTCGGAATGGGTTAGTTCATGAAATCCGGCCGCGATGAACATTTTTCTGATTGTTGTAACCAAGCAAACCTGATGGTAATCGAAGGTCGATCGTGACAACCGAAATTTGAGACATACGGCCGACCTTCCAGACCACACTAACCGAACTCCTTTTCGTGAAAGTCGTCTTTATAGTGCGGCGGCGTGCGCTGAGTGCTCTGGTTGCAAAGCATAGTGGGCGAGCAGTCGGTAGAGGCCGACAAGACTCTAGACGCGTTTCGAGCTCCAGAGTCGCTAAATGGGACTCGAACCGAACGTGTGACCCCGCGAATGGATTGCTCTCTGAACGAGGAATCAATTGGTGGGTTCATACGCTTGTTTTGAGGCCTGTTCAGCGACTCTGGAGCTCTAAACGCGTCTAAAGTACTGTCCGCCTCCACCGGTCATCTGGGACCACTGAGCAACGGAGCGAACGTTGCTGCCTGCACTTCGAGGTGTGGGGATGTGTGGCGAGAGAGTCTGCCGACGGCAGGCCAGCGCCGCAGGCCGAGGTTGGTGTTAACACCGCGTGTATTGTCGGTACTGGCGCAGCTTCACAAAGCCTGTTACAAGTCATAATCTGGCGTACACCTACCTTGTTGAAAAAAAAAAGAGTTTTATTTCAACCTGCCAAACACCTCGACAAAGGCCGATTTCTTGTACTGTTTCTGGTTTATGTTCTTCTTGTTCTTCACTTCAGGCCCTGCCCGTAACCAGGAACTTATCAACATACTTCCTAAATTCTGAAGTCCAGGAAATGTTCCCTTCTGCTGCTGTGTAAATAAGTTCTAATGCAACTGAGGACAAAGCACACAAAAGAAAAAAATACGATTCCAAGAAATCCTAGGAGTCACGAAGTCAATTTGATTTTTGTGTAAGAGTGTGGAGAAAGAAAAGAAGTGGTGTTGTGAAGTTGTGGCAGTGGAACCAATGTGGTCGATGTGCCACCCGTCGAAATTTAATTTGACAACAAATAGAAATCAAAATGCTGGTAAATTCAAAAAATTCCAATGCTAATGTATTCCGCAGTGTTCTGACAGGAACATCTTCAAAGTCCATCATTATTAAAATGTTCTTAGCAGAAAGAAGGCAGTAAATTGATTTTCACGGGTTGGCAACTAGTTTCTCGGCGTTTGCGCCCTTGCGATAATCGCGAAGCTGAAAGCACCAGCAGTCGCGCATTAAAACTGCCCCTCCATTGTTGCTGACGTTGAATTGTTTGGCTTGTTTCAAAGGGCTATGGTTAGGTTAGGTTTCAGTGGGTTAGGGCAGGTTTCAGTGTTTTTTACAAAATACGTGGTTAAAATTTTTTGGGCCGACCAAAAAAGCTGAAAATTTTTTCTGGAGCTCTTTGCTACATAGGGAACACACCCACTGAGTTTCGTCGAAATCGGAGACATCGATTTCGGGACCTCGGGTGACTTGGGAAAGAATTACCCATAGGTTAATTAGGGCCGTACCCATATTACGTGACCGATTAAGGTCGGAAAGGGGGGGGGGTCAAGCTTAATACTACGTTCTATCTTGAATACATGCGAAGGTAAGGCTATGCCTGAAGACTCTCACGCGGCTGATGAGTCTGACGCCTGGCTTCGGTGACTCATTGACTCATCTGCGACCGGGGGCGGGGGCTTGAGAGGGGGGTCGAGTCGGGCTGATTGGTCACCAAAATGCCCCTTTGCGTGTTTTTGGCTTTCGGGGCTTTCGGTCGACTCTGCGCCCTTCATTTGAACTTGTAATTTACTCATGACAAGAAGATCATGTGTTGCGACATTGGAGCGGAGAGTTCACGTCTTGCTGGTGCGCAGTCACTGACAGTAATGGCGTCTCCTCGTGGGTGTAAGAGGTACGGCAGTCGAAGCTGAAACAAAAGAAACACGTCACGGTTCGAAAAGCGCTCTGCATCAAACACTGAGTGGGTATTCCTTTGTGCTGCCGGAGGACAGTACATTGAAACAATATTGAGTGTGAGATGCAAACTTACCAAGACCGATGCCAGTATACATTCCTGCCATTTCCAAGTACCGCTGAGTCCCCAAGAACCGAGTCACTTAAACTCCAATGCCCACTATGTTTTAAATTTCTGAGAAAAAGTTGAAAAACCACACTGCAAAAAATCAGTCACTGACCAATTGCAGAAAATTGAGAAGCTCTCGGAGAAAGCCCGTGGCGCGTCCGCCACAGCAGGGACGTTCAAAACATCTATTACCATAGGTGACGAGGGGACGCCGCACAGTGGGACGATATGTGAAAAAAGTTGAACAACAACGACTTCTCAACTTTAATGGAGTGATGAGTTGAGTTGCGAACATTTGCTCTCATCAACCATGCCCTTTGGCACCAGCAAGCCTTCGGTCGGCAACCTTCTTTGCCAACCAGTTACAAAAATACCACTCCACCCTTTTCGCGTTTCGCGCCGCCGCAGCCGCATTCACTGACCCGTGAGAACCTCAGCCACCTTAGTGAGGATGGTCACTCCCTCCTCTGGCCGCTGGATCAATCCCAAAGGTAACCCTATGGTTAATGTCACTAATTTGCATGTAACTGTTGTATTTTGAAAACAAACAAAATTTACATATGCCGCTGGCAAGCATGGCAAGCGACGTAGCAGCGTCGGCCGCTCCCCCGCCCCTCCCCCCCGTCGCCATGACAGTCACCACCTCGTGCGGGTTGGAGGGACTAGGGGGGACGCTACCACCTTAGGACTTAACGGAGAATCCTGGGCGCATCATACCTCACAAGATTGTGACCCACAAGAATCACTTGCGGCCCACACTTCCTGAGGAACTCTAAGAATTCTGATGCCACTATGCGATGAGGTTTGGTGGAGCCTTTCGTGCCGCCGCAGCCGCATTCACTTACCCAGGACGATGTCGGCCACCCTGGCCAGCACCGTCGCCGCATCCTCCGGCCGGCGCCACACCACCATTGCCGCCAAGGCGAAGAAACCAACTATTACAAGCAGCAGTGCAATTTTCAATGGAAGTATTATGAGGAAGCGAACCTAACCTAACCATGAATAGACGTGTCGACTCACAGAGACCAATTATACACTTCAATGAAAGAAAAATGTTCAATGGTGCAGTTCAAGATGGTTCAAGTTAAGTTGTACAGTGCTGCAGGCGCTTTTTCTTCCGAGTGTTCTTCAACCACTCCATGTTGAAGCGCAGGCCCGCCAACGGGTCCGCGGAGCCGACAGCATCCCCTTCCCTCAGCGCCCCTCCGGAAAGGCGAACCACCTGAAACACACACGGCGTGCGTCAGCACTAAGCACTTAGATTAAAATTCAAAGACAGCCGGCATGAACCAGGTGTCACCTGGAAATGACTATGATGTAAACAGCTCCGAATGAATTAAATGACAGGGGGGAATAGCAGAAATTCAAGGGAGGCTCCTGTACAACGTGGAGACGCCAGAGGGGTGACTTCATTCAGCCCTTAGCCGTGTTGCATCACTTACTGTGCATTCGCTCGACCCTTTGTTTCGCTCGTTGTTTGGAGGCTGTCTGCCACTCACGATGGCACCAAGAAAAGGCTGGCATAGGGTAGCAAAGGGTCGCCGCTGCCTCAGGTCCGAGCGAATGTACAGTGTGCCGTGCCGGTCGCCACCTTCGCCCCTTTTCGCCGCGTAGCTTATCTGTGTACTTACGGCAAAACTAGCTCCGGCTTTTCTCTCTGCTTCTTGGACATTTTTCTTGGCATCACTGCAACCAATCGTCACACTCGACACAAAACAGTGACAAGAACACCTGCTGCCTAGCCTCTTTCCCCCCACCCAGAAATCAAAATTCTCGGAACAATTGACAAGCACTAAAGCTTGGAGCAGCTCCAGACAAAAAAAAACACTTGGCCGGGGACCCCCTCAGATCTGGCTCCCTCCCGTTTTTTTTGGTTCCTCTAGTGAATACGAATTGCCGAAACACAAATTGGGCCGGATCCAACACCGATTGGCTTTTTGGTAGAGGTCAAAAACCCCTAAAAATGGCTGTTTTTGAGGGTTTGGGGCTTTTTGGGATCCCGGAACCTGCTGGCCAAAAAATCTACCAAGGTGCCGTTTCCGAAAGAAAAAAGTGCGATCTTTCGAATGCCGGGTCGCGCGAGGCTCTACGACGTCGGGTTTGGACGCTACGGGCTCTCAAAGTTGCTGAATTTCACTATTTTTACTGAAGATTTGAGCGTATCAGGGCCGTTCGAAGCAGACCATCGGGGATTTCGCCCCTCTTTGGCTTAAGGGGGCAGTCTCGTCCCGGGGGTCCAAATTTTCGAATTTTTTTTTATTGGCTTATAAAATGGTTTGGACCCTTGGGAACAAGAATATGGTACTCATTTTTCGATATTCGAAACCGTTCGTGCCCATTTTTCACTTTTTTTCAAACACTGCATTTTGGTAAAATCACCCAAAATGCTCTTTTTCCGCTTTTTTCCCTTCGGGCGGCCTTCAATTTCAATCCTGGCTGACGGCACGTTTGAATCGCGCGCCGCGCTGGGCAGGGAGGTTGTGGAGGGGGTAGGGACGGCCAGGGCTCGGGTCTCGGCAGTCGGGGTGGCCCTCTCGGGCCAGTCGGGCGAGTGGTGGTGGGGGTAACAGGCTGCCTCCCCTCACCGCTTCCCCTCCCCCTCCTACCGCCTCACCCCTTCGGCCCACTCCCGTACCGCTGGCCGCGAGCAAAGTGGGCCTCTTAGCCATCTCAAGAAGAAGAAGAAAAGTGACGGAATCAGCTGGTCCTGGTATCAACAAGGTGCCGCTGTAGTTGCACAACAAATCTGACAGAAACTTTGGCAGCTATTGAAGCAAACTTCAGCAGGAATCATGGATGACGGTGACGGTGACACTCCGAGAAAGCGTCAGTCCGGCAAGCGTTTTGCTCATGTTTTCAAGAAGAAGCAATTCAGTGGGAATCGTTTCACGAGAGCCCAGGAGGAGGCAGCCCGGCGTGAGGCAGAAGCCGCAGCTGCACGCCTCGCTGAGGTTAGTTGTGTTTGCTTGAAGTGCATCTTGTTCCTCGGATGAATGGCAGATTATAATTTTTTGTGTTGTACATTGTTACAGGAAGCAGCGAGGGCGAATCAGCCTGTTGCCAGGCGAACCAGGAGAGGAGCTCGAGCTGCAGAGACGCCAACAACAACACCGGCAACGCCAACAACAACAACAACAACAACAGCTCCTACACCAACAACATCTACTGCGACTCCAAGCACAAGCGAGCAGCCCGACCGTCCGTCGTCTGCTTCATCAAACAAGCTGCGTCGCAGCGCTGACCCAGTTGTTCAAGAACATCGCAAGAACTGGAGTGGCTTTAGAATTTTTGACAGTGATTTACTCTTCCAAGAGATTGAAAGTGAAATGGTGTGTCGTGTTTGTTATGCATCTATGAAATTTGAAGAAGTGTCACAGTGTGGTTTTAGTAGCATTTTTCATTTAAAATTTTTGGGTTTGTTTAAGAATTATTGAGTTTAGAAACAGTGCAATGATCTCATCAAATTTTGCTGAAGTAAACCGTCGTTCGGTCTATGCATTCAAGAGCATGGGTTTAGGATATGGACCGTACAAGGAATTTTGCGCGCTCATGGATTTCCCTCAGCCAGTTGCCAATTCAATTTTTGACCGTGCAGTGACTGAAATTCAGAAAGCTACCCAGAAAGTGGCTGAGGAGTCTATGAATCGAGAGCTCAAGAAGAAACAAAGCTACAGGAAGCAAAAATGTGACAGCAAGTGGTGATGGTATTTGGCAGAAACGTGGATTTAGTTCTTTGTTTGGTGTTGTGACTCTCATTGGACTGATTACTGGAAAAGTTCTTGACTTTTTTGTCCTACCCCTTGTGTGCAAAATTTGTGATGCATAAAGGGGAAAAAGGAGGGCCCAGAATACGAAGTGTGGTTGGAAAATCACCAGCCAAAGTGCACGAAGAACCATGAGGGGTCATCCGGAAAAATGGAGGTGGATGGAATGCTGCAGTTTTTCGGAAGATCTGAAGAAGACAGAGGCATTCGTTACACAAAATATTTTGGTGATGGTGATGCCAAAACCTTCAAAGCTTTTTCTGATGACAAGCCCTATGATGAAGAAATAGAGAAGGTGGAATGCACTGCACATGTTCAAAAGAGAATGGGGCCCGGCAAGGAAACTCAAAAAAGATTTGAAATCTACAAAACTTAAAGATGGAAAAGTAATTGGTGGAAGAGGCCGTCTGACTGACAAAGTCATTGACCCGATATCTGTTTACTATGGAATTGCCATCAGATCATCTAACACAGTGGAAGAAATGTGCACAAAAGTGTGGGCAACTTACCACCACATGTCATCCACCGATCAGAAGCCCGCTCACCCGTTTGTCCGAAAGGGCCCGACTCTTGGTGCACCTACCAAAAAGCTGTTTCTGCCAAAACAGTAAGAAACTACAAGCACAAAGTAGGGGTACCTCTTGTTGTCATGGAAGCTTGCAAGAAAAATTTTTTAAGATTTTACCCAAACCCCAACTGTTGAAGGAAAATTTGGGGGGCCTTAAAACCAAGGCTCCAAAATTTTGGGGATGTAAAAACAAAAAAATTTTTGGGAAAAAGGTGTAGCGACGCGGCAAAAAATTTTTAATGATGGTCCGGGGAAAAGTAAAAGGCCTTTAACAAAGGGGGAAAGCGGATTTCATAAGTGGGACAAGGAAGAAATTGGTTACTAACATCAGGGGCCCAATGAAAAAAGGGTTCCCAAAAAGGGAAGGGAAGAAAAAAAAAAAATGGAAATGTTTCCAAACCGGAGGGGGTTAGTCTTTTTTTATTTTAGCGTGATCGGAAAAAACTTTTTTCAATTTTGGGCGTTTTTTTTTTAAAATTTTTTAACGGGGAATTTCCCAAAAAATTAATAATCCTTAATTTTTGGGGTTTCCTATAATTTAAACTTTATTTAACCCACCCTTTTTTTTTTAACCATTTGGTTTTTGGGCGAAACACATTTTGTTTTTGAAAAATAGCATTAAATTTTAATGTAAGTTAAGAATTATTTTTCAATATGTTTGAATTGTTCAATCTTTATACTTGTAGGTTAAAATAATGAAAATTTTATGCTCTTTCATTTGCAAGCGACGGATTGGAAAAAAGTTGATTAGTTTTGCCAAAAAGTGTCGCGCTCTGAAATTTTGTAATTTTGTCGAGGTTTAGCAAGTACACTGTAAAACCCATTACTTGTGAAATAAAACAAAAAATTTTTTTTTGAAAATGTTGCTTAAAGATTGCTCTTTTGATTGGTAATACCCCCTTTTCTCCCAGAACTCAATTTTGTTGAAAATTTTAAGGTTGAAAATGGCCAAAAACGGGGTTTCGGGACGAGACTGCCCCCTTAAATGGTGCCTACCCATAGGTTAACACCCCCACAAAATTTCAGCCATCTCAGGCAATTATTACAGGAACTGTGAGCAATTGAAGTTTTGGGTCATTTTACCACTAAACTTAGGTGGTTTTGGGTCCAGAAAAAATATTTTTTTCAACTATCTCTATTTGATCAGCACCTCTTGAAACGTATTTTTAACATGGTGCCTCAAAACATTTTTTTTGAGAATAAAGTTGAGAAACCTATTTCAGTTCTTGAGACTCAAGAACTCTCAAGAAGTCAAGAACTGAACTGAAGAGGTGCTGATCAAATAGAGATAGTTGAAAAAAATATTTTTTCTGGACCCAAAACCACCTAAGTTTAGTGGTAAAATGACCCAAAACTTCAATTGCTCACAGTTTCTGAAATAATTGCCTGAGATGGCTGAAATTTTGTGGGGGTGTTTACCTATGGGTAGGCACCATTTAAGCCAAAGAGGAGCGAAATCCCCGATGGTCTGCTTCGAACGGCCCTGATACGCTCAAATCTCCAGTAAAAATAGTGAAATTCAGCAACTTTGAGAGCCCGTAGCGTCCAAACCCGACGTCGTAGAGCCTCGCGCGACCCGGCATTCGAAAGATCGCACTTTTTTCTTTCGGAAACGACACCTTGGTAGATTTTTTGGCCAGCAGGTTCCGGGATCCCAAAAAGCCCCAAACCCTCAAAATCAGCCATTTTTAGGGGTTTTTGACCTCTACCAAAAAGCCAATCGGTGTTGGATCCGGCCCAATTTGTGTTTCGGCAATTCGTATTCACTAGAGGAACCAAAAAAACCGGGAGGGAGCCAGATCTGAGGGGGTCCCCGGCCAAGTGTTTTTTTTTTGTCTGGAGCTGCTCTTGGCAACCTTTGCAATGGTAAAAGTGAACTTTGTCGCCACAATAATCTCTTAATTGCAGCTCTGTTGACTTTCAAATGTTGTTTTAATCTTGTAAAAGCCAAATTGACGCGATTTCTGTTAATTTTTTACCACCTTTCAATTAACTGCCTGCTCTTTTAGATGTTCTAGGGTCGCTAAGTTGGTGTGACGGTGACGTGTCCCACCAGTCATGGAAAATCCAGTCCACTTCCTCCTCTGTGCTGAAAGCAGAAGACTAGTTTGAGCCAAAAGAACCTCGTCTGCTGTTAACTTGCACTATTTTAAGAGTTGTTCTCAGTGTTTTGGAGGCATGGCTGTAAAAAGGCAAATCTTGTCTTACCTGCAATCGTGTCGGTGAGCTGGTGCACGGAACAACGAACCTCTGAAAACAGAGTACCATAACCTAACCTGCCTTATAGGCTGCCTTATAGGTTGAATTTTGGTGCCGGGATAATTGCCCTGCGACAGGTTTGCCACACAGAGGACACTCCACTTTAGGAAGCTTGGTGCGGGGTGGGTGCATGACATCGATGGCTTCGTTGTAATGTGCGAAGGCTGGGTCGTCTGAGTGCTGCTTGATGACGTGGTGTTTCAGCCTCTTCACAGAGCCTCCCTTGTAGGAGGTACCACAGCCTGGCTTGGGGCAGATGAGTGTGGTGTCGCCAACAGGAGCACCAGCTGCTGGGTGGGCTGGTCCCTCTTCCTCTTCTGCGAGGTCAATTACGTCCTCGTAGCCTCTTCAGAACTGTCCAGGCTCCTCTTCTTCTGCGTCGTCTTGGACAGGGGTCACTTGCAAAATCTTGCGAACCTGTCAAATAAATTGTGAAACAAGTTCCACGTTAGCAACGACTTAAAAACATAATTCAAAGTCAAGTACAGTTTACAAAGGTTAGGTCAATGATATGTATATTGGAAAAAAATTGAATGCTGAGCGCTTACCTCCGTGTCTCGATATGTGGGGCCCAACAGGTGCTCTATGTAGATGGTGGTGGCAAAGGGGACGCCGTTGCTGGGATGAAGAACCTCGACAGATTGCATCACATCGGCGACCCCTTGCTTCATGTAATTGGAAATGATCGACCTCTCCACACCAATTGCCCTGAGGATGGGCACCAGGTCAAGTGGATCCTCATCATCACTAAAAGAAAAAAAAAACAATAACACAGTCAGTAATGGAAACTCAACAGAGTAAAAAAATTTAAAAAAAGGAGATTATGAAAAGAAAAATAAACTCCACTCACATCAAACAAGGGCAGCGCCTTGGAGCGATCATGCCCGACTTGGCCCAGGATGCCGATGCAATGTTTACGCTCTCATTGAGGTTCAGCCCCAGGTTGATTCCCCAGTGGATGGTGTGTGGAAGAAGGTAAAGTACATCACCTGGCTTCTGAACCACCTGATTCAAAGAAAATAGAGGTATATAATGAAATTTGTCATTTCAGACAAACAAGAGCACAAAGCAACAATTGTTTTGAAAAAAAGGGGGGGCACAGTTAAGAGCGACATACCGTGAAGACTGGGATGCCATATTCAACAACGGTTCTCGGATCCAAAAAGATATAATTGTGGTTCAACAGCGATGTGCAAAATTTGTCATTGGTGACAACGCCCAATTTAGGAAGAAGCAGGACAAATGCACTGAAAAACCTGGGAGGGATCATGAAACTTAAAACAGACAGAAATTGATGTTACAACACAACATACAATGCATGCAAAAAAAAATAAATCAAAGAGTCACCATTTCAAGATGCTCCTTTAAAAAAAAAAAATTAAATCAAAAGAGTGGAGTACTTACCACATTTTGGGAGCCCCAGCAATATGGCGGTTGACGGCCTGGAAGGCACAGTCCTCAATGTGGGGGTTGAAGGAGGTTCCCTCTTGCCCGATGAATGCTGCTGGATGTGTGATGCCAGCACAAGGTTCACCGGGCAGGTGGGACATGAAAGACCGCATGTCACGCATGCTGAGCTGCGGTGTTGTTTTGAGCTCGCCCTCCAAGTCGATGTTGACAGCATAGAGCAACTTCTGTTGTTTAGAACGAGCCATGCGAAAGAAAGAATCCAGGACTCCCTCAACACCAGTGGCCTCGTAAACGGACTCCCTAAAAAGGCAAAAACAACAAAACAACCAGGGGTTACTTAAAAGCCATAAAAGAAATGTGCATCGCCAAATCAGAAGCAAAAAAAGATGGTAATTAGGTGCACTTACAATTGGGTCTGTGGTGCGTTAAAGAAGTCATGTTCTAGAACATCATCTTTGAACATCTCCCTCAGCCGCAGAACACGTTCCGCGTCTGCCACCTGGTTGCTGACTGGAGTCATAGTAATGACGTTCTTCTGTGGCCACAGAAAACCCCTCTCCAAGAGGGTTGGATCGAAGAAGCGACGGTTTGTTGCTGGGTTAACAGCATCTCTACGTAAGGTGTCCTGTAGGATTTCAATAGTAGGATTGCCACATCGATGTCCAACCACCAACCATAACCCCCACTATTGGGGTGACTCATCGATGTCTCATCAAGCAGATAATTCATACATTGCTCATTTTGCTCCAGACATCCGGAGACACTTGAGGAGCGCAGTCAATTTCATGGCATGGTGGAGTCCAGACGGCGACAGGAGAACCTTATGAGCAGCTCCAGACAAAAAAAAACACTTGGCCGGGGACCCCCTCAGATCTGGCTCCCTCCCGGTTTTTTTGGTTCCTCTAGTGAATACGAATTGCCGAAACACAAATTGGGCCGGATCCAACACCGATTGGCTTTTTGGTAGAGGTCAAAAACCCCTAAAAATGGCTGTTTTTGAGGGTTTGGGGCTTTTTGGGATCCCGGAACCTGCTGGCCAAAAAATCTACCAAGGTGTCGTTTCCGAAAGAAAAAAGTGCGATCTTTCGAATGCCGGGTCGCGCGAGGCTCTACGACGTCGGGTTTGGACGCTACGGGCTCTCAAAGTTGCTGAATTTCACTATTTTTACTGAAGATTTGAGCGTATCAGGGCCGTTCGAAGCAGACCATCGGGGATTTCGCCCCTCTTTGGCTTAAATGGTGCCTACCCATAGGTTAACACCCCCACAAAATTTCAGCCATCTCAGGCAATTATTACAGGAACTGTGAGCAATTGAAGTTTTGGGTCATTTTACCACTAAACTTAGGTGGTTTTGGGTCCAGAAAAAATATTTTTTTCAACTATCTCTATTTGATCAGCACCTCTTCAGTTCAGTTCTTGACTTCTTGAGAGTTCTTGAGTCTCAAGAACTGAAATAGGTTTCTCAACTTTATTCTCAAAAAAAATGTTTTGAGGCACCATGTCAAAAATACGTTTCAAGAGGTGCTGATCAAATAGAGATAGTTGAAAAAAATATTTTTTCTGGACCCAAAACCACCTAAGTTTAGTGGTAAAATGACCCAAAACTTCAATTGCTCACAGTTCCTGTAATAATTGCCTGAGATGGCTGAAATTTTGTGGGGGTGTTAACCTATGGGTAGGCACCATTTAAGCCAAAGAGGGGCGAAATCCCCGATGGTCTGCTTCGAACGGCCCTGATACGCTCAAATCTTCAGTAAAAATAGTGAAATTCAGCAACTTTGAGAGCCCGTAGCGTCCAAACCCGACGTCGTAGAGCCTCGCGCGACCCGGCATTCGAAAGATCGCACTTTTTTCTTTCGGAAACGACACCTTGGTAGATTTTTTGGCCAGCAGGTTCCGGGATCCCAAAAAGCCCCAAACCCTCAAAAACAGCCATTTTTAGGGGTTTTTGACCTCTACCAAAAAGCCAATCGGTGTTGGATCCGGCCCAATTTGTGTTTCGGCAATTCGTATTCACTAGAGGAACCAAAAAAACCGGGAGGGAGCCAGATCTGAGGGGGTCCCCGGCCAAGTGTTTTTTTTTTTGTCTGGAGCTGCTCGGAGACAACAAGTCATTGATGCCCACAAGCAGTACAGCACAACTTGGGAGGTCAGTACAACTCTTAACCAAGTGTTTGATTTGTTGAACACGCGCCCCTCGCACACACAAGGCCTTGCTAAGGGGGTAATAGCTTTCGGGGTACAAATCCAAGAGTCTGGCAAAGATACTGTCGCCAATGAGAAGTGCCATGGCTGACACAGTCAACACTCGGACGCGGATAAAATTAACGGGGTAGCTCGCGGGTTAAAATTAAACGGTGGTTGCACGCGGATACATGGTCACTGACACAACAACACCTTACTTCAAGAGTCCATGTCGGAGAGGAGGGCTTCTCGTTTCCAGGCGCGTTCACCTCATGGGACAAGCAGGCTTAGTCCACATGAGGGGCCAGATGACGATGGCGAACACGGAGCGCCGGTTCCGGATTGCATCCCGGGAGGATCACGTCGTGCCTAGCCAGCCATGATACTGGACTAGATACTCGGATGGAGAAAACCTGTTACAGAACAGTTGCGATCACACATGCGAACCCGGTCATGGAGCCACGATAACCCTACCGACTTACAACACTTGTTGCTTGTGAGCTAATCGTTACGGAGAGAACCAAAATAATTACATCAAAAGCCAGTCCAGAACTAGGAGAACGCGGATGGCTAAGAAAACTCACCGATTTGCGATGGATGAAAGAAAGGGGGGGCTAAAAAATTACGCTAGGCGTAAACATCGGGAATTTAGAATTTGGCCAAATTGAGAATTCTGAAGAAGTCAGCAGGCCCGTTTTGTTGCGCGCGTGCCTCGGGCGGGGCCCAAAAGTGGCACTGCACTTTCAGTTTCCCGCGCCCGACCTGTCCGACCAGGGCCCCGTTCCTTGGAATAGGTCACGAACGCAGGCAAAGGATTACATGTTCGACTTCTGGGGGACGACAACCCGACCCAGGCGCCCGAAAAGTTCCAATTGCCTGCGGGCGGACCTAATCCGGTGTTTTCCCGGAAAAGGTGGTACGGAATCGCTCGGTGGTGGTACGGGGCTCGAAATAGTGGTACATGTACCACCAAGGTGGTACGTCTGGCAACACTGTGCCGTGCGCCGCCGCTCCGCGCCGCGAGGCGGGAACCGTGGCGCACCCTGGCGGTCGGGTTTGAAACCACTATGGGAAACTTCGCGGGCGCCGTTCGCCGATCAAGTGGCGGGATTTGAAAGCAAAGGAAAGGGTGAAAGGGAACGGAGAGAAACAAAAGGATAGAAAAACAAGGCAGACGGGTAAATAATAAGATAGATGACAGAAAACAAAGGCAGAAAAAAACTAGCCAGGGGAAGGCCTTCGGCCTCGATGCTGAGCTGGATTCTGCTGGAGATGGAAATGCATTTTCATCAGTAGTAAATTTGGATGTGTTTATTTTGAAAATGAGCCTCTTTTCTTTTTGGGGGGTGATAGCCAGGAAGTATGCTTTCGCGCAAAGGATTGTGATTCGGCAATGGTTGGTTTCTCCTTGAATCGACGGAAGGCTATTTAATAATCTAAAACTAAATGTTCCAACCAATCCTAACCTAACCTATCGGGCTCGTGACAGATCTTACTCTACTCGTGACAGATCTTACCCTACTCTCGACAGATTTTATTCTCAAACTAAATGGTCCAACCAAACCTAACCTAACCTAACGGGCTCGTGACAGATCTTTCTCTACTCGTGACAGATCTTTCCCTACTCTCGACCGATCTTATTCTCAAATTAAATGATCCAACCAATCCTAACCTAACCTAACGGGCTCGTGACAGATCTTCCTCTACTCGCGAAAGATCATACCCTACTCGCGACAGATCTTATTCTCAAACTAAATGGCCTATGAAGCTTGGCGTTCGACTATGGAGCTTGGACTATTGAGCTTGGACTATAGAATATGGACTATGGAGCTTAGACTATGGAGCTTGGACTATGGAGCTTGGACTATGGAGCTTGGACTATAGAGTTTGGACTATGGAGCTTGGACTATAGAGCTTGGACTATAGAGCTTGGACTATAGAGCTTGGACTATGAAGCTTCGACTATGTATACGCATATGAATATAGTAAAAATAAACAGAGGAAGATACCTCTTGTAAACTAAAGGTATCAGGGGGGGGGGCGGACAAATGAGCTATTCAAAATCCCAAACAGGGTGCTTCGCTTCGCTCAGCAATAATTACTAGCCAGGGGAAGGCCTTCGGCCTCGATGCTGAGCTGGATTCTGCTGGAGATGGTAATGCATTTTCATCAGTTGTAAATTTGGATGTGTTTATTTTGAAAATGAGCCTCTTTTCTTTTTGGGGGGTGATAGCCAGGAAGTATGCTTTTGCGCAAAGGATTGTGATTCGGCAATGGTTGGTTTCTCCTTGAATCGACGGAAGGCTATTTATTAATCTAAAACTAAATGTTTCAACCAATCCTAACCTAACCTAACGGGCTCGTGACAGATCTTACTCTACTCGTGACAGATCTTACCCTACTCTCGACAGATTTTATTCTCAAACTAAATGGTCCAACCAAACCTAACCTAACCTAACGGGCTCGTGACAGATCTTTCTCTACTCGTGACAGATCTTTCCCTACTCTCGACCGATCTTATTCTCAAACTAAATGATCCAACCAATCCTAACCTAACCTAACGGGCTTGTAACAGATCTTACTCTACTCGTGACAGATCTTACCCTACTCTCGACAGATCTTATTCTCAAACTAAATGGTCCAACCAATCCTAACCTAACCTAACGGGCTCGTGACAGATCTTTCTCTACTCGTGACAGATCTTTCCCTACTCTCGACCGATCTTATTCTCAAACTAAATGATCCAACCAATCCTAACCTAACCTAACGGGCTCGTGACAGATCTTCCTCTACTCGCGAAAGATCATACCCTACTCGCGACAGATCTTATTCTCAAACTAAATGGCCTATGAAGCTTGGCGTACGACTATGGAGCTTGGACTATTGAGCTTGGACTATAGAATATGGACTATGGAGCTTAGACTATGGAGCTTGGACTATGGAGCTTGGACTATGGAGCTTGGACTATAGAGTTTGGACTATGGAGCTTGGACTATAGAGCTTGAACTATAGAGCTTGGACTATGGAGCTTCGACTATGTATACGCATATGAATATAGTAAAAATAAACAGAGGAAGATACCTCTTGTAAACTAAAGGTATCAGGGGGGGGGTCGGACAAATGAGCTATTCAAAATCCCAAACAGGGTGCTTCGCTTCGCTCAGCAAAAAAGACAGGAAAAAAAATAGTAACGAAACCGTTACACCTCCCCCTTCGCTTGCCTTGAGGCCACCAGCTCAAGGAGAAAACTTCAAATCATTTACATGATAAGGACCATCCTCATTACCTTCGGCGTCTTCCAATAAATAGCCTCTCTTGCCACATTTAGCTTTTATGGTGAAAGGACCTAACAAACTAATCAGCTAATTTCTTTGTAAAATAATTAGTAGCATCAGATTTGGCAAAATTTCTATGGTACACTCTCTGTCCTTCCTTGAACTCCACCTCTCTTCTCCTCAAGTTATAAACCTTAGCATTACGCTCATAGGCTTGCTTGAGTCTTTGTACGACATCAGCGTATATAGACTGCAAAACCTTAAGATTTTGGGTTGCGTG